CATTCCTAGCTGAGACGGGTGATGTTACACAGCTCATGTTACCCTGATTTGACTCCATGTCGTCATCTTTAGGTTCCAACTTGAGTTCATGATCAGCGTTCACAGTTTTTAGTTCATTGGGAATAGGAGCAGCATGCAAAACAGGATTACACCTCATCTCACACTCAGTACTCTTACACTTTACGTCATGACCCTCCTTTAAACAATCCTTATGAGCTAAGGAAGCACAGGGGCCTACTTTAAGTAGCTCGTTGGTGAGCGGAGCGGGCTCGGGAAGGGAGGCATTAGCAACAGGTAACTCAGTCTTAAAAGACGCTATAAATACACAAAGAGACACTGGGAAATCACACACAGGTGGGGGAAACAGCTGGACCTGATTAACCTGACGAGACAGGGGAACACTAACACCAGGGACCAACAGAGGGAGCACAAACCCAGAACCCAGTGTCTAAAATCCCAAACACAAACCATCCCAAAACAGCCATGAATAATAATGAAAGTAATAACAATAAAGAACACAAACACAAAGTCACTCAGTCATGGCCGCAGGACCATGACAGTACCCCCCCCTCAAGGGCTGGCCCCTGACAGCCACAGAAGCACACCACCAGACCCGGGCGGGCGGCAGGGGGCCCAGGACGGAGGGACCGGGCCACGACCAAAACGAAGGCCCCAGAGTCCCAAACAAATGTTCACAAAAAGAAAACTCACAGGGGAGCAGAGTCCAAAACACAGTTCAGGCGGCCTGCCAGGGGCCCGATAACACAGGAGGCCAGGATGGGACAGGTCAGGAGGCCGGCCACGAAGAAGGCCGAGGAGGCGCACAAAAGGTTCAGGAGGCCGGCCGTGCGGAAGGCAACGGCGGCCGCTCAGGCGAAGAGGGTCCGGGGGCCGGCCGTGCGGAAGGCAACGGCGGCCGCTCAGGCGATAGCGGTCCGGGGGCCGGCCGTGCGGAAGGCAACGGCGGCCGCTCAGGCGATGGCGGTCCGGGGGCCGGCCGTGCGGAAGGCAACGGCGGCCAGCTCAGGCGATGGCGGTCCGGGGGCCGGCCGTGCGGAAGGCAACGGCGGCCGCTCAGGCGATGGCGGTCCGGGGGCCGGCCGTGCGGAAGGCAACGGCGGCCAGTCAGGCGATGGCGGGCGGGCCGGCCGTGGGGGTTGTTGTTGTGTGGTTTGGGGTGTGGGTGCAGGGTACGCTGATGTGTGCTATTTGAAGGCGGGGTTCCGGTTTATGAGAAAACGGTGTCCGTTGTGAGCTCCAATTCGCAGTAAGGTTAGGGCTGGTGTCTCAGTGTTCGATGGTTGAGGGTGGGTGCGAATCCGGAGTCCTTGGGTGTGGTGTTGTTTGGTGGTGTTTGTGGTGGGGCGTAGGCTGGTGCAGACACGCAGCAGGCGGAGATGATGATGCAGACACAAAGGCTGGACCAGACGAGGATGCAGACACGGAGGCTGGACCAGACGAGGATGCAGACACGGAGGCTGGACCAGACGAGGATGCAGACACGGAGGCTGGACCAGACGAGGATGCAGACACGGAGGCTGGACCAGACGAGGATGCAGACACGGAGGCTGGACCAGACGAGGATGCAGACACGGAGGCTGGACCAGACGAGGATGCAGACACGGAGGCTGGACCAGACGAGGATGCAGACACGGAGGCTGGACCAGACGAGGATGCAGACACGAAGGCTGGACCAGGCAGACACGAAGGCTGGACCAGACGAGGATGATGATGGAGCTGGGCCAGGCGAAGCAGCTGATGAGGATGCTGATGATGGAGCTGGGCCAGGCGAAGCAGCTGATGAGGATGCTGAAGCTGGAGCTGGACCAGGTGTGAATGAAGACACGGAGGCTGGACCAGACGATGATGCAGACACGAAGGCTGGACCAGACGAAGATGCAGACACGAAGGCTGGACCAGACGACGAGGAGGCTGGACCAGACGATGCGGATGATGCTGGGCCAGACGATGCGGATGATGCTGGGCCAGACGATGCGGATGATGCTGGGCCAGACGATGCGGATGAAACCGGGCCAGGCGTGGATGAAACCGGGCCAGGCGTGGATGAAACCGGGCCAGGCGTGGATGAAGCTGTAGCTGAAGCTGGGCCGGGCGAAGCTGACGCTGTAGCTGAAGCTGGGCCAGGTGAGGATGAAGCTGGACCAGAATCAGGCGTGGATGAAGCCGGGCCAGGCGATGATGCGTCCTCAGGCTGAGGTGTGGCCGTAGCAGGCGGTAGCACTGCCGGTGGTGGTACTGCAGGAGGCGGCGCTGCAGCCACAGGTGGAGAAGCAGCCACAGGTGGAGAAGCAGCCACAGGTGGAGAAGCAGCCACAGGTGGAGAAGCAGCCACAGGTGGAGAAGCAGCCACAGGAGGCCGGACGGGCTCCTCGGGCCCCCCAGCCGACGTGGCAGCCGGTGTGGCATGAGGCCGGACGGGCTCCTCGGGCCCCCCAGCTAGCAAAGCAGGAGGCTGGACGGGCTCCTCGGGCCCCCCAGCAGGCGAAACAGGATGTCGCGGTCTGCGGAGGCAGACCGTGCTGGGAATGTGTGGTGGACCCAGGGCGAACACAAGCGAGGATGCAGGAGTGGATTAAACAAAAGCGAGCCTTTTATTATGGCTGATAACAAGACAAACCAGAGCAGGGAGTATAGGCGTACATAGTATCTAAACTAGAAAACTAAACTGGACAAAACTAAGAAAACAGCTATGTGCCTGAGAGATACCGGAAACACAGGGGGTGAGAACACAGACGACGCGACACAGACTGAATGAAACACAGAGACTAAATACACATGAGGGATGATCAGGGGAAGTGGTCCACACATGGGGAACAGCAGCTGACACCTGATACATAACAAGGACAGGCAGGAGTGAACTAAACACTGAGCAGGAATGAGGCCTCAAAGTAAAACAGGAAGACAATGAGTTCAAACAGAGGGGAGACGTAGACGGGGAGAACGAGACATAACGGCTGGGAAAAGCATAGAACTAGACATAAAGACAGCTATCAGAATACAAGAGGGCACACGGGGTGAAGGGCACGAGGGAAAACAGTAAGGACAAGGGTAGATCAACCTCAGATGCTGGACTAACTTAATAAGAAACAACAATAACAGTCAAAATACATGAAAACAAAATACTGGGCCGCACGGCCCAGGACCATGACATACCCCCCCCTAAAGGGCTGGCTCCCGACAGCCCAAACCCGAGAGAACCAAAACCAAGAAACAGAAAACACCCCACCCAGGGCGGGAGGCGGGGGACCAGGACGGAGGGACAACGGGAAAAACAGAACACAAAAACACAGGAGCACATGAACAACTGAGTCCCACAAACGTAGGCGACCCAAAGAGCCAGCAGGCAAGAGAATGTCCAAAGGGCACCGGTGCCGGGGGCCGACCAGGCAGTGCCAGTAACCGTTCGACGGCACGAAGTCAGTGACAGAGGTCCGGAGCCGGCCGCGCGGAAGGCAGCGGCGGCGGCTGAAGGAGACGACGGAGCAGTTCAGGGGGCCGGCCGTGCGGAAGGCAGCGGCGGCGAAGGAGACGACGGAGCAGTTCAGGGGCCGGCCGTGCGGAAGGCAGCGGCGGCTCTCCAGTGCAGGCGTACTGGCCGAGGCCCGGGTGCACAGGGACCAGTCGAGGCGGGGCCAGACGAAGATTGGGCTGCGGCGGCGAATTGAGGCTGCGGAGACAAGACTCGAGCTGCGCAGACACCTGAGGCTGCAGCAGCAGCCAGCTGGCTGCAGCAGACGAAGACTTGAGGCTGGGCTCAGACGAGAACCGAAGCGACCGGACCGGCTGGAGCAGGCAGGCCAGACGGACGCGAGCGAACGACGGGCTGGAAGGCGGCTGAACCGAGGCACCGGAGGCGAAACTCTGGGCGGACGGCACTGAGCCGGGCAAGCTACGAGGAAGGTAACGTCCTCAGGGCCCTCCCAGCTGACGCGGCAGGAGGCTGAACGGGCTCCTCGGGCCCCCAGCTGACTGGCAGTGAGGCTGAACGGCTCCTACGGGACCCTCCAGCTGACGTGGCGTGAGGCTGACGGGCCCTCGGACCCTCCAGCGACGGGCGGAGGCTGGACGGTGCCCCTGGACCCCCAGCGCGTGAGACGGAGGCTGGACGGGCCCTCGGGACCCTCCAGCTGCGGGTAGCTGGCGGTCTAACCAGCGAGGGCGTGAGGACGGGCTCCCTCGGGCCCTCCAGCTGACGAGCGATGAGGCTGGCCGCGTATCACCTGACATCTTACAGTTAACAGTCCAGAAGCAAACAGGTGTCAGTGTCCTGAGGCAAAGACCAGCTCATTCACTTCAAGACTCATGTAGGCTGACATAACAGGCTCTAAAACAGAAAGTCCTGCTTCTATATTCCTCCCTTCAGTCTCGAGCAATGACAGAGCTTGACGGCCCAGATAAGCCGGGTCAGCCACAGGGAAAACAAGGACTACAACATTCCCCAGAAAAACACGACTTAAGCCTTCACGGATAAGCTCCTGGGCAAACATGAAATGTTCAGGAATGAATCTGGGCGATGAGAACTGACTAGCATGATGGCGGTAAGTGTTATATTGACTAGGAACCATGCGTGAGGTGGACTGTAACTCAAGGGTGTTATGTAGTGTGTATGGTGAAATGGGTACGGCTAATGCTGTGCTAGCATTCCTAGCTGAGACGGGTGATGTTACACAGTTCATGTTACCCTGATTTGACTCCATGTCGTCATCTTTAAGTACCAACGTGAGTTCATGATCAGCGTTCTCAGTTTTAAGTTCATTGGGAATAGGAGCAGCATGCAAAACAGGATTACACATCATCTCACACTCAGTACTCTTATACTTTACGTCATGACCCTCCTTTAAATAATCCTTATGTGCTAAGGAAGCACAGGGGCCTACTTTAAGTAGCTCGTTGGTGAGCGGAGCGGGCTCGGGAAGGGAGGCATTAGCCACAGGTACTCAGTTTATGGAACCCCAGGCACATTAAATGACACAGAAGAAAACACTTCCACCCCACTCCCCACACGAGCAACATCACGGCCTGTGGAACTCTCTGTCGATCCAAGTGTAGTGTCAGAGGTCCCTACAAGATCACTAGGCCTGTCCAAGATCCTCTCTGAAACAGATTCACTTGGCTGTGGCTTGGTTAGCAGAGCATTACTCAGTCTGAAGTTAGCACTGGCTAATTCCGAAACAGTGCTTTATTTTCACAAACAGAAACACACGAAACAGGGGATTCCCCGGTCAGCTTAGAGGCTGGACAGTCAAACACCTGTTCGGGTGGCGGTGACAAGAACACCGGCTGAAACTCCCCAGTGTTGGAATTCACAGTCTGAGTGGGTCTTACTCCCTGTTCGTGGAAGCCAGACGAACAGACCACACCATTCACAGTACCAGAGTCAGCCATTTCCACACTATGTGTCTCTGTTAACTTTGACCCGTGGCTCTGTGATTCTGAGTCTAATTCATCTTCTACGGCTTCGATGGAAGCTGGTGATGACAGGTTGCACTCACTCACCTCCGGTCGTTGCGCGATGCGGTGGCGACGCGAGCGCCGTCTCCTCTTGGCCGAGAGCCCCGTTAACGTGGAAAGTGGAGCCTCTTGCGGCGCTGCAGAGGCTGAGGAGGCGAGGGTTGGCGGAGCATCAGGCGGGAGCTCCTGGCAACTCCGGGGGCCCCCAAAGGCCAGGCGTGTCCCGCGGAAAATCTCACCGTAGTGAGGAGCGAGCCCTGGCTTCCCCCGTAGCTCCTCCTCCAGTTGCGCGCATGCGGCGCGCTGTCGCTCCTCGAGGTCGAAAGTCATCACCTCCACAGCCTCCTCGTGTCGCTCAGTGGAGGGCGAGACATGCCGTAGCGATGAGCGACGGCGACGAGAACGCCGCTTCCGTCTTGAAGTGGACGCGGACGTAACTTGGATTTCTGTGGCGACCGGCTCCTCGTCTTCCGACCACATCCGCGCCAGATAAGAAGCGGGAGAAGAGTAGTCCGATCGAGGCGGCGAGGATGGGCGGCCGGTCCGAGGCGGGGCGGCTGGCGGAAGCTCCTCCTTGGTGATAAGCCAGGGCTTCCAGCGTAGCTCGTCCTCCCGATACGCCCGCAACACCTGCTGTCGCTCCTCCTCACCGAAGTCAACAGCCTCGGGCATCTCCGTGCAGGCAGGCGGTGGCGAAGATGCGGAAGCTGATGAAGTGTGAGCCAATGGTGTGTCGGTGGTGAGCCTCACTGTTCCGACTCTGACCGCTACCGGCTCTTGAGGCCGCGGGGTAACATCGCAACAGCATGGCTCTGGCGAAGGCGCACGCACACCGGGCCGCTGCGGCTGCGGACGGAGTTGGAGAGTGGTGACGAGAAAGTCAACGATCAGTGGGTGTAGTGCCTCCCATAACCAGGGAAATACAGACACGCATACTCCCACTTGGCGGGCCAACTCCTCCCGTTCCTCCACTCCGGAACACTGCAGCCAGTTAGTACAAAGCGCCTCCACCGTCTGGATGATCTCCCTCTCGTGTGTCGCTGGGTCCGGCATGGTCGCGTCGTACTGTCGCGGTCTGCGGAGGCAGACCGTGCGGGAATGTGTATGGTGGACCCAGGTGCGAACACAAGCGAGGATGCAGGAGTGGAGTAAAACAAAAGCGAGCCTTTATTATGGCTGAAAACAAAGTGTACAAACAAAGCAGGGATGGCGTGACTAGACTATAACTAAACTGGGAAAACTAATACTGTGACAAACTAAGAAAACTCAGACTATGATGATCACTGCAAAGACTGACCGTGAAAACATGGAGGTGAGAACACAGACGACGCGACACAGACTGTATGAAACACAGAGACTAAATACACATGAGGGATGATCAGGGGAAGTGGATGCACACGGGGAACACAGGTGACACTGATAATCATAACAAGACACGGCAGGAGTGAACGTAACACTGATGGGAGATGGGCAAAGTAAAACAGGAAGTACACAGAGGTTCAAACAGGAGGGGAGAGAGCACGGGGAGAACGCAGACATAACGGGCTGGGGAAAACATAGAATAAAACACTAAGAGAGACGAGGGCTCATAAATACACAGAGGGGCACACAGGGGGTGAGGGTCACGAAGGGAAAACATAAGGAACAACGTAACAGATCAACCCAGGAAGCATGGCCTAAATAAAGAACAAAATACAGAAATACATGAAAACTAAGAATACTGGGCCCACATGGCCCAGGACCATGACACAGGAGGCTGGACGGGCTCCTCGGGCCCCCCAGCAGGCGAAACAGGAGGCTGGACGGGCTCCTCGGGCCCCCCAGCAGGCGAAGCAGGAGGCTGGACGGGCTCCTCGGGCCCCCCAGCAGGCGAAGCAGGAGGCTGGACGGGCTCCTCGGGCCCCCCAGCAAAAACAGCCTCAGAACCAGCGGGCACCGGGGCCCCCGGCACACACAAAACAAAACTAGGAGGCACGTGGGCCTCTGGCACACATGAAACAAAACTAGGAGGCACGTGGGCCTCTGGCACACATGAAACAAAACCAGTGAGGCACGTCGGGCCTCTGGCACACACTGAAACAAAACGACAGCGCCTGGACGCAGAACCAGACACGTGGGCCTCTGGCACATTTGAAACAAAACCAGTAGGCACGTGGGCCTCTGGCACATTTGAAACAAAACCAGTAGGCACGTGGGCCTCTGGCACATTTGAAACAAAACCAGTAGGCACGTGGGCCTCTGGCACACATACGGAGGGCTGCAGCTGCGCAGAGCACTGACCCTGCTCAGGCAGTGACAGCCCGGTGCAGTTCACAGCTGGCATCTTGGCCACCAGGGGTCCAGAGTAAGCTGAGGGCAGCAACCCCGCCTCTGGGGAAGCCCCGGAGTGAGTAACAGTCACTAATGTTGCCAGCTGTTGAGGAACAGGTCCGTAATGAAACAGTTTGTCTCCCTGCTCAGAAACAGCGGTGGAAAAACAGTGTGAAAATTGTGGCTTAAGGGAGGCTAATGGTTGAGCTACAGACTGGGAAGCTTGTGGCTGGACACAGAACTGAGCCGGAGAATGGTGATAAAGTCCTGGCTCAGAAGGAGCGGCAGAGAAACAGTCTCTCGGTTTCACAGAGGGTCTGTACACGCCCACTTGCGAAGGATCAGTTACCACGAAGGTAGGTAAGCGATCCGAACAGTCTCCCATCCCGCTCTGAATAGCCCCAGAAAACAGAGTCTCGGAATCTGGGGAAGCCAGAACATGTCGCTCGCTCACCGCCTCGGGCTGCTCGAAAGTAAAAGCAGACGGGGGGTGAAGTCCGAGGTCCAAAAGGAGAAACTCCCGCTCCCACGAACAGAGCGAGTCCAGAAGCCATGGGAGACCGGTCACCAGACGCTGTAGCCGCCTCTCTACAGCGCTGGGACGTGCCACCCGGGCTTTCCAGCCACAGGTCGATCAGCTCCTGTGTGGCGTCGATGAGCGTCTCCCGTAGCTCCCTGGATGGATTAAGCGCTGCTGGGTCCATCTTGTGGTCGCGTCGTACTGTCACGGTCCGGGGCAGCGGCCGTGTGGAGAGTGGAAGGAGGACTCAAAGTGCAGCACTTATTCAGGTGTGAGGGTGATTTATTGATGATAACAAACATAAAGAGGAGATGGCAAAACAGAACTACGGATGAACTAAACTGAGTGAAACTACACAAAGGAGTGGCAAACCTGAACACGAAGGGAGAACAGCAGGGAGAGCACGCAGAGGATTTCACAGGGTAGATGCAGAGTACGCAGGATAACACAGAGGATGAACACAGGGTATGTACACAGACGACGCGACGAGGAGCAGAGGAAATCACACACTATAAATACACAAAGAGACACTGGGAAATCACACACAGGTGGGGGAAACAGCTGGACCTGATTAACCTGACGAGACAGGGGAACACTAACACCAGGGACCAACAGAGGGAGCACAAACCCAGAACCCAGTGTCTAAAATCCCA